GAACTCCCGACCTCAGGTAATCCTCCTCCCTCAGCCTCCCAAAGTGCTGGAATTACGGGCCCGAGCCACCACGCCTGGCTTGTGTGTCCTTTTGTGTCTGGCTTCTCTCACTGAGCGTGATGTCCTCAAGCTTCATCCACGTGGTGACCTGTATCAGAGCCCTGTTCCTTTTCGTGGCCGAGCCCAGCTGTGGTATGGACGAACCCGCTCTGTACTGACCCGTCTATCTGTCCAAGGACACTTAGCTGTTTCTAACATTTACTTGTGAGTAATGCTGCTGTGGACATTCATGTACACGATTTTGTTAGAGTGCCCATTTTCCATTAGATTACTCGGAGCTCTGCGTTTTGCTGTGTGTGTGTGTGTGTGTGTGTGTGTGTGTGTTGCTTACTGACAAGCCTTCCCAGACTTCTGCATTGAATGGCGTAGATAAGACATCCTAAAAAATTCAGCAAAGCATCTGAACCCCAGAACCTCTGAATGTGACCGTATTTGGAAATAGGGTCGTTGCAGATATAATTAGTTAAGATGAAGTCATCCTGAAGTAGGGTGAGCCTTAAATCCGATAAGATTGCTTTCCTTATAAGAAGATAAAATCTGGACACAGACACAGGGAAGAGACAGCCAAGTGACAACAGAGGCCAAGATTGGAGTGATGTGTCTACAAGCCAAGGGACGTCAAGGAAGGCCACCCACAGCCGGAAACTGTGCGCGCCAGGAACGGTTCTATCCAGGGGCTCTGAGGGAGTGAGGCTCTGCCAGCACCTTGATTGTGGAACTCTGGCCTCTGGAGCTGTGAGAAGATCCATTTCTACCACCTGTTTGTGGTGCTTTCTTTTTATTATATTTTTAATTGAAAAAAAAAATTTTTTTTTTAAAGACGGGGTTTCTCCATGTTGGTCAGGGTGGTTTCAAAGTCCCAACCTCATGTGATCCACCCACCTCAGCCTCCCAAAGTGCTGGGATTACAGGCGTGCGCCACCGCGCCCAGCTGTTTTTTATTTTTTAGAGGTTCAAGCGATTCACCTGGCTCCCTATGCTGCCCAGGCTAGTCTTGAACTCCTGGGCTCAAGAGTCCTCCTGTCTTGACCTCCCAAAGTGCTGGGATTCCAGGTGTGAGTCATGGTGCCCACCCCCATCCCACGCTTTTTTTTTTTTTTTAAACAGTTTCGCTCCTGTCGCCCAGGCTGGAGTGCAATGGAGTGATCTCGGCTCACTGCAACCTTCGCCATCCAGGTTCAAGCAATTCTCCTGCCTCAGCCTCTCGAGTAGCTGGGATGACAGGTGCCCGCCACCACGCCTGGCTAATTTTTTGTATTTTTAGTAGCAATGGGGTTTCGCCATGTTGACCAGGATGGTCTCGAACTTCTGACCTCAGGCGATCCACTCCCTCCAGCCTCCCAAAGTGCTTGGATTCCAGGTGTTAGTCACCATGCTCCGTCACTTTGTTTTTGAGACAGGGTCCCGGTATGTTGCCCAGGCTGCAATGCAGTGTCACAATCATAGCTCACTGAAGCCTTGACCTCCCTGGGCTCAGGTGATCGTCTTACCTGATTCCTGTGAGTAGCTAAGACCACAAGTGCCTGCCATCACTACTGATTTTTTTTTTTTTTTTTGAGACAAACTCTCCCTCTGTTGCCCAGGCTGGAGTGCAGCAGTGCAATCTCAGCCCATTGCAACCTCCACCTCCCAGGTTCAAGTGATTCTCCCACCTCAGCCTCTCAAGTAGGCAGGATTACAGGCACCCGCCATCACGCCCAGCTAATTTTTGTATTTTGAGCAGAGACCGGGTTTTACCATGTTGGCCAGGCTAGTCTCGAACTCCTGACCTTAGGTGATCCACCTGCCTCAGCCTCCCAAAGTGCTGGGATTCCAGGCATGAGCCACTGTGCCTGGCCAATTTGTTTGCATTTTTTTAGAGATGGGGTCTCACTATGTTGCCCAGACTGGTCTTTAACTACTGGATTCAAGTGATCCGTCTGGGTCAGCCTCTCCAAGTGCTAGGATTACAGGCATATGCCACTGTGTCCAGCTGTTTCTTTGCGGTTGTGACAGGATCTTGCTCTGTCGCCCAGGCTGGAGCTCAGAGACACGAACACAGCTCACTGAAGCCTGCGCCTCCTGGGCTCAACCAATCTTCCCACCTCCGCGTCCCAAGTAGCTGGGACCACAGGTGCGTGCCACCACACCCAGCTAATTTTGTATTTTTTGTAGAGATGGGGGTGTCACCTTGTTCCCCAGGCCGGTCTCAAACTCCTGGGCTCAAATGATCCTCCCGCCTCAGCCTCCCAAAGTGCTGGGATCACAGGCGAGAGCCACCTCACCCCATCCACTCTGTGGTGCTTTGTTACGGCCGCCCTGGATCAGACAAACTGATACTGCCAACCCTGAACCCCCGCCAGGCCGTTTCACCCTTTCCTGGCACAGGAGATGTGCCAGGAAATTTAGAGCTTCTCATTTCTAGGCAGGCCTGGAAAATACCATTTTGTAGCAGATTTTTTACTTTTAAAAAATTCCAGTATACAATTCAGTGGTTTTAGTACATTCAAAAAGCTGTGTGGGCTGGGCACGGTGGCCCACGGCTGTAATTCCAGCACTTAAGGAGGCCAAGGCAGGCGGATGATTTGAGACCAGGAGTTCGACACCAGCCTGGCCAACATGGTGAAACCCCGTTGCTACTAAAAATACAAAAATTGCTGGGCGTGGTGGTGCATGCCTGTAATTCCAGCTACTTGGGCGGCTGAGGCAGGAGAAGCTCTTGAACCCAGGAGGTGGAGGTTGCAGTCAGCCAAGATCGCGTCACTGCGCTCCAGCCTGGAAGACAGAGTGAGAGTCTGTCTCAGGAAGAAAAAAAAAAAAAAGCTGTGCAACCATCACCTCTAATTCCAGAACATTCCATCACCGCCAGAGGAAGCCCTGTCTCCATCAACAGTCACTCCCCATGTCCTCCCCTATTTCTGACAGCCCCGCTATCCCCTTCCTGTCTGTGGATGAGTCTGCCCCGGACATTTCATAGAAATGACATCACACGCTGGGTGGCCCTTCGTGTCTCACTGAGACTCCCGTGGCTTCTCTCTCACTGAGCGTGATGTCCTCAAGATTCATCCATGTCACAGCTTGCAGCACATTTTGCTAAAGTTTAAACTTTATGGTTTTTTTTTTTTTTTT